CTGGTTTGCTCTCTCCGTTCCACTTTAGGGGGCAGGCGGAAACCCTGTCTATTTTCAGCGCTTTCCTACCTCATGTTTATGTCCACTTCTTCCGGCGGGTGGATACATTTGTTTGCAAGCCTCCGAGGTTTTCCCAGACTTCCGCCTCTGGGGCCCGTTTCCCTCGAAAACGGGTCCGGGATGAGGAACTGTCCCCGGGGTTGGGGTCGGGGCCTCCCTGGGGCAGCGGACTGATGCAGGCACGTGGTCGGATGCCCGGGCCGTGGGGCACGCACCGAGCCCTTGCTGCAGGCTTCTGGAAGTGCTCGGGAAGTTCCCAGAGCCTCGGAGGCCTTCCGTGCCCAGCCGGTGCGCCGCGCCTCGTCGAGAGCTTTAGGGGAGTGCTGGAGTCGCCCTGGACGGTGGCCCGTGGCCCGAGGTATGGTCCGAAAGCCCACCAGGGGCCGGCTCTACCAGGGCCAGCTCGGCCTCGAACTTCGCTCCTCGAGCCTGGATCCTCCAGCCTCGCTCCTCGAGCCTGGATCCTCGAGCCTGGACCCTTCGAGCCTGGATCCTCGAGCCTCGAGCCTCAGAGCCTCGAGCCTCGGAGCCTCGAAGGTCGGGCCCTTCGAGCCTGGAGATCCTCGACCCTCGCCCCTCGACTGAGGGCGGAGGGGGGCGCGCCTTCCCGGCTGCCTTTGGGGTTTGGATGCCAACGAGGAGCCGACCGCCCGGAGCCTCGAGCCTCAGAGCCTCGAGCCCCGGAGCCTCGAAGGTCGGACCTTGGAGCCCGGAGGTCCTCGACCCTCGACCCTTGACTGAGGGCGGAGGGGGGCGCGCCTTCCCGGCTGCCTTTGGGGCTCGGATGCCAACGAGGAGCCGACCGCCTGGCCCCTTCCCGCGTGACGAGTGGGCAGTCGAAGCAGTCCGCCATCGCCGGTGACAGCTGCCCGCGGGATTCGCTCCACCACAGCTCAATGTATGGTCCGAGGTGTACCCTTCCGCGTCCTCGGCAGGGAGCCGTGCTGACACCGACCACACATCTTGCTCCAGACTGGAAGCTGCCACGGGATCGAACGCGGCAGCACCCTCGTCGACGATGACACTTGGCAAGCCTTTGGCAAAATCAAGCGCATGCGAGAACCCCTCACTCGTACCGGCGAACCGAGGAGAAAAATACACAGCGCCATGCTTTTCGACATGCTGCGACTCGGCGCTCGCGTTCGCCAAGAGTTGGCGTTGCGACGCGAACATCAAGTCTTGCAGCCGCCGCACGTCAAAACGCCTTACCACCATTGTGACCGTTTTCTTATTCAATGTTTTGCCGATCGGCGTGGGCCCTTGCACCCACCCTCCCCACCCCCCTCATGGACTGGATGCTGGCTGCTTCTGGGCGCCTGTTTCGAGCAGGTGGAGTCTCCCCACAGGACACACTTGTTGCAATCAGTGGCGCTAAGCAGAGATCCGGAGCCAGCCCCCCCTCCCTCCCCCCCTTTCCGCCTGATGCCGAAACGCCGAACAAGCAAACGCTCACCATAAGCGAGCTGGCTAACGAAGCAGGGTCGTGTTAAGCAGCGGAACGTGATGCGTCTTGAAGGGATGCCCCAGGTCGTGGCGGCTCTCAGACGTGGCTCTGTGTGCACGCGGGCGGTGCAGGTGGTCCAGGGGGAGATGGTGTAGTGCATGAGTGATTGTCGGCGTCACCCCAACATATTGATACCATCTAATACCCTTCGGCCGATCCCGCCGCCGTGCCTGGGCTGCGGGGATGAAGCCTACTGGATGTTCGTTGGGATCTCGTGGGAGGCTTCTCGGAGGCCTCTTGGAGGCAGTTTGGACGCCTGTTGGGGGCCGTTTGGGGGCCTCTTGGGGCCTCGTTTGGGTATCTTGGGGGCCTCGTATGGGCTGTTTGGGGGCCTCTTGGGGCCTCCTGGGCCCTCGGGACGGGAGGTTCGGATTTTAGGTTCGTGTTCCTTCTTTTGGGCCCCCTTTTGGGGCTGTCTTGGGGCCCTCTTGGGCCGTTTTGGGCGCCTCTTGAGCTTTCTTGGGGCCCTCTTGGGTCGTTTTGGGGCCATCGTGGAGGCCTCTTGGGCCGTCTTGGGGCGGTCTTGGGGGCCTCTAGGCCCGTCTGGGAGTGCTGGGAAGCCGAACATGTAAGGAAAATTGATGATTTGGGCTTCTTGGGGCACTCTTGGGAGGCCACTTGGAGGCCTCTTGGGCCGTCTGGGGGCCATCTTGAGCGTCTTGGAGCGATCGTTCGACGTCTCGGGGTTTCCTTGGACCGTCTTGGCCGCCTCTTGGGGCCCTCTTGGCCCTCCTTGGGGCCCTCTTGAGCTCGAAAAAGTAACGCGACAAGATGCTGGGGACCCCAGGGAAACTGCGGGCAGCCCCAAAAAATTTGGCCCGAGAGACTCCAGACCTTTTGCTTTTCAGGAGTGAGGACTGAGGCTTAGAAGGGTAGCGAGAGGACCTGAGGACAGGGTAGCGAGAGGACCTGAGGACACGCCCGCTGCGTGCCCAGCGGCACGGTGGCGGACGTGTGCGTCGCCCCGCAGGGACGACGCGCGCACCGAGAAATCTTACAATGTGTGTGTGTGTGTGTGTGTCGTGGCGGGCGCTTCCTGGCCACACTGCTCTGGAAACGAGATATTACAAGATGGGCATACTGTATGTTCGGGTCGGACGCGCGCCTCCCAGGAGAACATGTGCATCTCAGATAGGACCGCGGAAGTGACGATGTTGTTGTTTTCCTTTGACTGGTTCACTGCTGTCCTCGCGGGCTGGACCCTGGTTGTCTGACTGCCTCCGGGTGCGTGCTCGGGGCTGCGGCCGTTTCGGACAGATCTCGGGCTTATGTCGGGCCTGTCCCCCTAGAGGGGGATTTTCGACGAAAAATACAAAAAGATACCCCGCAAAATAGTCCAAAAATAGCCCAAAATTAGTCCGGGGGCTATTTTTAAAGTATTTTTTAACCTTCTTGGGGTATTTTTGGGGTATTTTCTATTTTTCATCAAACATCAATCCCCCTGTAGGGGGACAGGCCCGACCTAATCTTGGGCCCAACATTCCCGCGCCGCGCCCTCGGCAGGTCGGCCCCGGCAGGATGCTCCCCGCGCGCCACCGCTCCGCTGCGGCCGGGCCTCGCCCTGCCGCTTCGCCGCGCCAGCCCTCTGCACTCGCGGCAGGCCGTGTTTGCGGCGGGGATGTCGAGCGAGTTGCTGCCCCGAGCGCCGAGCGGTGATGACTGTAATTTGCGTTGCATCTTCGGGGGGCCCCAGCCTGTCCCCCAAATTCGTATGTTTTCTTCTGCCCGACGCGGGCTCGATGCGGACTCGTCTTGGGTTTGGCGTGGATTCGACATGGATTCGTCACGGATTCGACGCGGATCCGACGAGTCCGACATGGATTCGACACACATTCGACGCGGATAGGGCCGCGACGGGACAGACAAGGCCCCCCGAGGATGCAACCGAATTTGATGGTATCGAGGAGCACAAGATAGGGCATAGTCAGAGACATTCGGGGGTCCGCGGGCATTTTTCGGATCCGCGTTGGCGCCCCCTGGCGGCGCCTCTGGTGCCGCCCGCGGCGCGCTCCGCGCGCCAGGGAGGGGGTTCCAGCGCTGATCTGAGAAATCGGCGCGGTCCTCCAACAGTTTGCGCTTGTGCCGTTTTTGTTCTTCGATGATGGCAGCAAGCGGCAGCGGGCGAATGCTGGCGATCCCAGGCGCAGCGGCGTGGAGCGGGTTGAGCGAAGTGCCGAGGAGTGGGAGGCCATAGTCGCGGCCAGGAAGGCTCGCAAGGAAAAGCACGCAAATCGTGGAGTCGGCAAGATCGAGAAGCACCACCCTGATTGCCGACGCTTCCGCATGGTGCTGTCGTATGAGGGTGCCGCGTTTCACGGCTGGCAGAAGCAGGGGCAGGGGCGGTCGTCTGGTCAGGCGCCGCTTCGCACCGTTGAGGGGGTGCTCGAAGACTGCCTGCGACCTGTGCTCTCACAGAACGTCAAGTTCTGGCCGTCGGGGCGCACCGACGCCGGCGTCTCTGCGGCAGCACAGGTGGCCCAGTTTGACTGGAAGGATGGAAAAGCTGTATAAACATACACTTTCGGAGCTCCGCGCGGATTTCTTGGATCGGCGTTGGGCCCCCTGGCGATGCCTCCAGCGCCGCCACTGGCGCGCTCCATGCGCCAGGAAGGGTGGGTGCAGCGCCGATCCAAGAAGTCCGCGCGGACCTCCGACAGTTTATGCTCATGCAGCTTTTTATTTCTCTATTGACGCAAAGTTTTCGGAGGCCGAGTTGCAGACCGCACCAACCCTGCTCGAGGCGCTCAACGCGGCGCTGCCGGATGACGTCCGCATCGCAAGCTTGGAGCCCGTCGGCAACGGCTTTGTGGCCAACGAGTGCCTGTGGAAGCGTTACGCCTACCGCCTCCCTGGGGACGCGGCGGCGGTGCGCCGTGCCTGCTTGCAGATCATTGGCGGCAACCCCCGGGCCGCGGAGCCTGCGCGTGCGGCTGCCGATGCGGATGGGGGTGCGGGTGCGACCTCGATTGCGGGTGCGGCTCTGGGCGCGGCCTCGGGCGCGGGTGCGACCTCGGGTGCGGGTGCGGGCGCGGCCTCTGGCGCGGCCTCAGAGGCAGCTGCGCCACCTCCCGTCGCCCTGGACGTCGAGGCCATGCGCGCCGCCGCCGGCTGCCTGCTGGGCCGGCACGACTTCGCCTCCTTCCAGTCCAAGGGAGGGCGCGCCAGCACCGTGCGGACGCTGTATCGATGCGACGTGGCAGAGGGCGGCGACGGCAGCCTGACCGTGACGCTCGAGGCCAACGGCTTTCTGTACAACATGGTGCGCATCATCGTCGGCACGCTCATCGAGGTCGGCATGGGCAAGCGCCGCAGCGACGACATCGAGCGCATCCTCGAGGCCGCGGATCGCGGCCAGGCGGGGCCCACGGCGCCCGCTGCCGGCTTGTGCCTCGAACACGTCGAGTACGACGTGCCAAATGAGCGGTCCGTGTCGTGACGTACGTGCCCGTCGCCCCGTTGCAGGTCTGAACTCGAAGATGAAGACTGGCGAGGTCGGACGTGATGAAGGCAAGATGTCACGTGCCATCGCGTATTGGAGCGCCCTCCCAGATTGTTCACACTTGGCGAGTGGCCGAAATTTGCAGCTAGAGTGTGCACACGCACTCGTAGCCGACTTGGGACAAACGTATCGAGTTATCCGTGTGAACAGATCGACCGTTCCAAGATGGCACTCCGCAATGCCGTCGGGGCGCCACGTCGCCCTTTTTGGTGTGCTGTGTGCCTGAGCCCTCGGGGGAGGGTGCCTGGACCTGTTACCGAGCGACGTGCCAGTGTAGCAGTAGCTAGGCTACAGCTACATTTGCAGTGGCGTCGCCGCAGTTCCAAGTCTTCAAACGGACGCATTGCTAGGGCGCCACATGCGAACCCTACCCCCATCCCCCACGATTTCTGAGGGGGAGGGTGGGGTTCACCTCGTTCGGGAGCTCTCAAGCGAAGTGAACCCCACCCTCCCCCTCAGAAATCGTGGGGGGCAGGGGTAGAGTTCGCATGTGGCCCCCTAATTACGTTTCGAGCTTTGACGCTGGAGCGGAGAGCGGCTGGTGCGGATCTTGCGAGGGGTGAGCTGCAGTATGTGCTGCTCGGCCGTGGCGCTCGCGCCAGCCGGGGCTTCCCCCGGGACCAACACTGCATTCCCTGACTCCTCGTCGTGGCTAGAAAGAATACGACGGAATGTTCTTGGTCATCCTCAGCCTCCTGGGGGCCCTTACCGAACCCTGGGACCGTCAAGCACAGTTCATCAGCATTTCCTTGGGAGAGGATCCGAAGTGGCTACGGGGTGAGAATGGCGCCGGCCCCCATCGGTCAAGAGTTGTTTTCGGATGGCAGCCCGGGGGGCCCGTGGAGCGTCCCGGGAGCCAGAGAACGTCGAGTGAACTTGCACGACCCCTTCATTCATGGCACGGTCCTCCAAATGCAGCCTGAGAATCTGACCCCCCAACCACCTGTCCAGGGGTGCGTTCTGGCCAGAGTTCCCGAGCAGATGCAGCCGTGGCGGCGAGGGCATCCCAGGAGGCTCAAGACGACAAGAGAAGCTCACAAAAGCCTCGTTCCTCGAGCTCGCAGCCGCCGCCGTCGCAGCCGCCGACGTCGTTCTCGACGCCCTCGGCTGGCAGAAGGCCCCCGCTTACTACGGGCGGCACCGACGAAGAGTACAGGAGAAGTGTTAGTGCACAGCCGGTGCTTACGCACAGCTTCCCTCTGATACCCAGGACCCCCCGTAAAATTCATCGGATTCAGATGTGATTTGAAGACGTGTTCTTGCTTATTCCCCGTAGTTCGATGTTGTGTGCCCTCGCATGGGCCGTGTGCTCCATATGTCCGCTGGCCAAGCGCGAGGTGGTTCAAGTGCGTGATTATTGCAGTGGTGCGCGTGCTGGTGCTACGCTGGGGACAGCCCAGTTCTCATCGGCTCAGATAGCCTGCATGTAGCTTCAGTCTGGATTGTCAGTGTAGCTGTCACGTTCGCTTTTTCCTGGGCCACCCTTCTATGCGTAATGATAGTCTTAGCTGAAGCTGATCGCTGTTATGCAACTTGAGCTCCACATCCATACCAGTTCTGCTAGGATCAGGCTGAACTTGCCGCAGGTCAGCTCAAGCCGCATCTCAGCGCAGTAGTTCACGTGATTATTTACGCTTCGCTTAACCTCACCAGCCCATCCAGAAAGGATGCCCAGGCGACTTATCCTGATCAGGGATGTGGAGGAGCATGCAGTGGGATGAAGGGCTGGGGAATTTCTTATATCTCACAGGGGGGAGGAGGAAGGAGGAATTGGAGAAGTAGGGGGGGAGGGAGGGGGAGGAGGGAGGAGGGACGGACCCAGATAGAAGAGCGCGCCGAGTCCGGGCGACGGGTGGAGCAGAGCGATGGAAAGCAGGGATGCACAGCCCTCAATCGGAATAGTGTCTACGACGAGGGCCTACGACCCAGGGAATCCAAGAGACCCCATCACGGTCAGCGCCTGTCCGAGGGCAAACAGATAAAGAAGAGAGTGACAGATGCGGGCTTAAAGGGGCCCGAGCCACACTGCAGCCTCGTCAGAGTACCTGCGGGGGGCAGGGGTGGCGATGTGCATTCTGGGCACCCTCGGGTGCAAATTCCTGTCGAAAATGCGGTCTCTCTTATAGCGGCGAGAGAGGGTCTTCTCAAGCAGCTCAGGTCTGCAGACCTCGAACAACTGGGATTGACTACCCCCCTCACATCACGAGCCGGAGCGACGGCAGGCAACGAGAATTCCAGACACGAACATTTCGTGACCCCACGACTGCGAGATCGGGATGATGTCTGAGAGCTCCTGGGCCACCGTGCCAGAACGACCAGCCGACGCCTCGGAGCCCCTAAGAACCTGACACGCGGGGTCGCTTCGCGAGTGACTCAGCATCCTCTGTCGGCTCACGGTGGCGGGTGAGATTCTCAGCCGCCTCGTCGGGACACGGGCGATCATCCAAACCAAAGCGGACCCTGGGACGAACCGAGCGCGCCTGAGGGGTCTCATCCAGGGAAGGCTTAGAAAACGTCTCAGATGGCCAGGGGCTTGGCATCGCTCGGACGTGTGCGTTTTTTCCTCGGCGAGGACCATCGAGGAGCATCCTTGATCATCTGGCGACAAAATGTCCACGCACAAAACCGAAAAAAAAGCACAGGGAATGGGCGTCCGAGCGATGGCCAGGGGAGCGTCCGAGCCTTTTGAGAAAGCTCGCCCCTTCTCACTTCCCCAGGGGCTCGCCGCCGAGCTGTCCGTGCCTTTGTGTACCTCCCATACTTGTTCTCACGAAGAGGCACTCCCGCCGCCCATCGCGCACGGTGCCCGCTGCTTCTCCACGTCCCCAGGTGAACGATTTTTCCTTCCCTACCCCTCCTCCTCCTCCTCCTCCTCCTCCTCCTCCTCCTCCTCCTCCTCCTCCTCCTCCTCCTCGATCCTCCTCTCCTCCTCCTCGATCCTCCTCCTCCTCCTCCTCCTCCTCCTCGATCCTCCTCCTCCTCCTCCTCCTCCTCCTCCTCCTCCTCCTCCTCCTCCTCCACCGCTCTCCCTCTCTCCCTCTCCCCCTCTCCCTCTTTTTTCCTTCCTCCCTCCCTCCCTCACTCCCTCCCTCCCCTCCTGCCGAGGGCGCGCGCACGGCCGCCGGTCACCCGAGACACACAGAGGCGACTTCGGACGCATCTGCGAGGGACCTCGGGCACGGGGCACGGGGTCGGGTCCTGGCTCGGCTTTTTCCCCCCTCCCCCGTTTACCAGCCTGGACCATATCCCTATCCCTATGCTGGGCATCTCCTCGTCACGATGCCAGTCTTAGGGATTCCCTTACTTTTCGAGGGCGAATCCCTAAGATTGTCATCGCCTCTTGGCGTGTCAATCGTAGGGATAGGGAAACGTTCGAGGCTGGTAACTCGTCCGACGGCGACAGCACGCCGGCAGGCGGCCGGGCCCGCGCCCGCAGGGCGGCGGCTCTCCGCGCCGTCGCGCGCACGCTGGGCGAGCCAGCTTGCGCCTCCCTCTGACTTGGCATCGCTCGGACGTGTGCGTTTTTTCCTCGGCGAGGACCATCGATGAGCATCCTTGATGATCTGGCGAAAAAATCCACGAACGAAGCCGACAAAGAGCACAGGGAATGGACGTCCGAGCGATGGCCAGCTGAGGGTGTGAGCAAGCAGGGCACATCGAGCACTGCCGCCTGCCTCGAACCCAGACAGGACGGTGACAGGCGGCAGCAGGGGGGGGAGGAGGACGATGGCGGAGGCGGGGCGGCTTGGCGTGCTTCCGCCGCAAGGGTGTGTCCGTTCAGTCGGGCGTGAGGGCACCTGAGGCCAGGGCCTCTCGTGACTGAGCTATCCAGCACGAGACCTGTCAGAGGAGGAGGAGGAGGAGAAGGGCAGCAGCATGAGCACGCACTACATTTTCCGACAGCTCCTGACGTCCCAAACTTTTCTGAGCAGCCCCATCCGCAAAGTCATTGCCGACGTTGTCAAAGGACCACCCCGTCTGACCCACTCGAAAGCCAAACCGCCGTGTTCAACGCCATAGTGATCACCGATGGCGTGCCAGATCTGTCGCCCAATATCCAAATTCTGACGAGAGGAATCGAGGCACCATTCCCGACCTCTCAGGTTGATGGCCTCGATCGCTGGTCGGTGATCCAACTTAATCAAAAGAGGGAGGCGCCCGACTTGGAGCACCTTCAAAATCGCGAAAAGCTTGGCCCTCGGGACACTTTGTTGGTGGCCTGGCAAGGGGCCGAAAGCCTGCCCCAAGAGACGGGGGCCAAACAAAACAGCAAATGCCCACCGCGCTCTGGCGGACTCGGGCCAGAACGCCAGGGCTTTTCCCGCACCGTCAGTGAAAACCGTTCCAGTGACATCCAGAGGACCCCGATCACGAACCAAGTCCCCCAACTCTCCGACAGGCAGGGAGGCCTCAGCTCTGGTAGCCAGGCTCTAGGAAAAAAGGCGACGCTGAAAGAAAGGGCACTGCGACGGGCCCCCCGAGCCCGCTCGATGTGAGCGGTGTCTAGTGCCGTTTGCAGAGCTTCGTCGCATTGAGGGCAGCTATGAACAAGATACTGTGATGCAAATTGCCTAGACGCGCACCGCTGGCTTGACACTCCTGAGGCTCTGAGTATCCATGCTGAAACAAGCGCTGCCGAGACCACTGTCCCCCGATCATCGTGGGGCGAAGGGCTGCCAGGGCCAGAGGTGAGAGCTTCCATGTCGCGCGCTCCCTGGGGTCAGCAAAAAGGGCACGGTCGGGTCGAGCCAATGGCCCCCTGGGGCTCTGGGGACGGGCAGCTCAGGATCCTCAGGGACCCGCTCGACCCTATTAGGCCATTGCCACCAGCCCTCCAGCTCGTAGTCACGAAGAGCCAGCGAGCGCACCAACACAGGAGCCGCGTCCGCCAGGTCGAGGTGGGTGCCGGTTCGCGCGCACCAGAGATGAGCAGCTGC